GTGTCTTGTGTCAGTTATGTCGCGTTGTAAGAATGATTATAATTACCTAAGAATGATTTTTGCACGGTGTTGACGCACTGGCGATGCGGGGGTAAGTCGGTTGACAATAGAGGCCGTAATAGAATTTATACCGGTTCACGGATTCTATATGGTTTAAAATTGATACAAAAGGGTACTGTAGCCCGATCTCACGAAATGCAACTGACTGTCAGAACCGTGGACAGCGTAACGAGACGTGATGTTGACTCTAAACGTAACTGTACGATTCTGATCCCCCGAGTAAGGAAACGAAGGGGTTTATATACCCAAAAATCTGTGGGGGAGGATTCGGATGCACGTTAGACATTACCATATTTGGTAATCTCCGAACTTCGTTAGTCACCGAGCAGCTGCATTTCGTGGGAACTGACTCTACATTCCAAAGGGTAGATAAGTAGCAGGGCGTTTTCCTAATGCACGCAAGTGGTATAGAAAAATTGGGGAACGAAACGTTCGGCATACGTAACATCTCCCCCCCCAAGATGAAACGTCGCGTTTCGCGTGATGCTTTCACATTAGGAAAACGTCTTGTTATTTCGAAATGAAGAGAAAAACAGATAAATAAATTCGCGAAAAACAACAAAATAATAAGAAGTTAAACGTGTCGGGTGTAATGTTGTGTTGTGGCGTGTACTTATCAATAATGGTGCATTGGAGGTGTCCCATTCCTTGGTCAGGTTGTAGTCCGGGTCCGGCCAGTTGTCAGTGGTATCAAGGGTATTCAGATGAAGATCATGTTTGTTTTTTAATTAAAGATGAGCAGTAGGCAGGTTTTAATTTGTCTTGATGTTTTGTTATTATTTTACTGCCAGTTTGAATTACTACATTATTTCGATCTGTTATGTCTAGAATCTTGTATGGTCCAATGTAGTGTGGGTCGAACTTATTTGTACGAGGTTCCAGGAGTACGTAAACATAATCGCCTACTTCGAAATCTACTGGTTTTGAACGTCTGTCGTAGTAATCTTTTGACCGGAGTTTTGATTTATTTAAATTGTTTGACGTGATGTTGCGGATTTTGGTCATATGTGAAATCAAATCTTGTAAATAATCTCCGTATGATTTTAAATTTTCATTATCCGGGAACGAACTGGGTTCTCGAGCTACTTTTCCAAAGATTAACTCGTATGGTGTGAAATTTGTTGCTTCGTGTACCGATGTGTTGTATGAGAACATTGCAAAAGGAATTAATAAATCCCAATCTTCGTAGTTATCCATGTAGTGCTTAAGATATTCGGTGAGCACGATGTGACTTCTTTCCAATGATCCGTTAGTTTGTGGTCTGTATCCAGAAGTTGTTATTTGCTTGATTTTAAATATTTCTGCCAAATTCGTCATTAAATTTCCAATGAAACTAGTTCCTTTGTCCGTTAATATTGCGCGAGGGGTGCCGTAAATTGCGATAAAGTGTCGGGCGAAAGCATCTGCAATGGTCGCGGCTCGAATATTAGGTATTGCAACTGCTACGCAGTATTTCGTCAGGTTGTCCTGTATGGTAAGGATATGTCTATTTCCATTAGGCGTGATCGGAAGAGGTCCCACGGTGTCCAGTGATATTTTGTCGAATGCATCCAACGGTGTATCGGTAATTAACATGGGTTGTCTAGTCTTTGCTCGAACTAATTTTTGTTCTTGGCAACTTTGGCATGTCCTAATATACTCCTGAATTTCGTTGCGCATTTTGGGCCAGTGAAATTTTGATCGGATGCGTTTGTATGTTTTTGTTACCCCTTTATGTCCTCCAATTAAACTATCGTGAGCTTCGCGGATTATGTTTAGTCTGTCCGTTTCGGATGGTGTGGTGATGGTACAGTTGCATAAAGTAATTTGTTGATCTGTTCCGGTAAAAACTTCTTCCAATATCTTGTAAAATTTGTCGGCTGGCAATTTGTGTGAATCTCCTGTTGCAGATATTCGAAAAGAATTTATTTGATTCTGTTCTAGAGTATGTTTAAGAGTTTTTAATCCATTGACTAAGTCTTCTGCCGTAATATTGTCGTAAAAATGATCGGAAATTACTATTCCGAAGGTTTTATACAATCCATTGTCTGAAGTTAATACGTGCCCCTTTTTTGGTTGAGCCGTCAAAATGTCTGATTTATTAATTATTTCGGTGTCCATTAAAACCTTTCCAACGGTAGATATTAAATTGCAATCTGCGGATATGAAGTATGCGTAATGTCCGTGTTCGGCAGTGAGGGTGTTAGAAGAAATGGTTATTTTATGTATTTGTTTTGGCTCGTTGTATCGATGCTCGTTATCGTCAGTTGAAACATCTGTGTCGGATGTGTATGGCAGGTAAGGGTCCGTCGTGCGTTCGAAGGCGTCAGGTCGCGTTGGCCTGCACTCAGGTAGCCGTTCTGCACTTGCTTCGGTTACAACCCTTGCAGGTGAATGAGTTATGGGTGGTTGTAAAATTTCGTTTGTAACGTGCGGTAATACCTGTGGAATACTGAGTAAATCTTTCCGAGGATTTTCTATAATTGTATTTTCTTTATCTGTAATTTCGAGCGGTTCTTCAAAAGACATTAAGTCGTCGGGAAAATTGTCGTCTTCATCTGGTGGTGCGTTTTGAGTGGAATTGGCTGCTGGCAAAAGGTTGTTTATGGTTTCCTGAGATTCATCTGGCAATGTTACTTCGTGCGATAAGCTGGGTAGGGCTCGGTGTCTAGCCAATATTGGAGAATGTTGAATTTTTCCATAAGTGGGGCACTGCTCTTCGTCCGAACTGCTACTGACCTCCCTGTACTTGGGTCGGTTCTCCCTGTCTCGCCGTAACTGTTGTATACGGCGACCTATAGACTGTTTGTCGGTAGTCGGTGGTACTTGAGTCCTGAAGTCGGGATCGTCTTTAGATTCCTGTGGAATGAGTGGTAGGCAGACAGACGGAGGGTTGCGCGACAACGCGTCTGCGTTCATGTTCGTTTTCCCACATTTGTGTATAACTTGGTACTCGTATTCCGAAAGTCTTAATTTCCACTTTATTAGCCTGGAGGTCGGGTCCTTGACAGAATGTAGCCAGACTAAAGGACGGTGATCTGTTATGAGGGTGAATTTTGTTCCATAGATGTAGGGTCGGAAATACTTGACTGCGTAAACCATTGCTAGACATTCCTTCTCTGTTGCCGAATAATTCTTTTCAGGTTTGTTGAGGCTGCGTGACGCATATGCTATTGGTAAGTCCTTTCCTATTTCTCCCTGGCTAAGTACAGCTCCTATGGCGTATTCGGATGCGTCTGTAGTCACGATAAAAGGTTTGGTGAAATCCGGGTACTGTAATATAGGTTGTTGACAGAGTTCTTTACGTAGTTGGTTGAAGCTTTGATCTTGTTCTTCCGTCCATTTGAATTTAATGCCCTTTCCTAGTAAATTGATTAACGGTTTTGACTTCACGGTGAAATCTGGTATAAATCTTCTGTAGTATCCTGCTAAGCCCAAAAATTGTTGAATGTTTTTCTGCGTTTTCGGTGTGGGAAAGTCTTGCACAGCTTTCAATTTCCTTGGATCCGGTCTTACTCCCTTTTCGGAAATTATGTGTCCTAAATATGCAACTTCTTTGCGTAGAAATTCGCATTTGTTAGTTTGAAGGGTTAAGCCCTGTTCCCGAAGGCGGTTCAATAATTTTTTAACTTTGATGTTATGTTCTTGTAATGATGAAGCGTAAACGACAATGTCGTCCAGGTAAACGAAGAGGTCTGTTCCTTGTAGTCCGGTGAGAACTTGATCCATGAGGCGTTGAAATGTAGGTGGAGCGTTCTTTAATCCAAAAGGCATTCTTGAAAATTCGTAATGTCCATGCGGTGTGGTGAATGCAGTTTTTTGCTTGTCCTTTGAGTTCATTTCTATCTGGTGAAATCCACTGGCGAGATCGAAAACTGAAAAATATTTCGCTCCTCCTAATCGGTCCAAAATTTCTGTGATTTGTGGTAATGGATATTTATCGGAGATTGTCTTTTCATTTAATGCGCGAAAGTCTATTACCATACGCCAGCGTTTGTTTCCCTGCGAGTCAGCTTTCTTCGGTACGATCCATAAAGGTGAATTGTAGGGTGATTTTGACGGAGTAATTATGCCTTGTGATAATAATGCGCTAACCTGTTTTTGTATTTCGTCCTGATGTACAGGCGGATATCGATACTGTCTTGTATTTACTGGTATTTCATCTATGGTGTGAATCGAATGATTAAAATCGACTGCTTTTCCTAATTTGTCTCCAAGCAGGAAAAATCGGTCTGGAAATTCTTTTATTAAATCAATGACGGATGCTCGTTCCTCTCTGTTTAAATGGTTGGTATTTAGGGTATTTATGAGGTTTTCTATCCTATCTTCTTTTTTCCTGAATTTAATTGGGTGTTCTGCATACGAGCAGAGGTCTTCGTCCGATGTACTCAAAAAATCGTATGGTTCTATTGTCTGTGGTTCTATCTCTATGTCGAGGTCTTCGCTGCTGGTGTTCGTTGCTAGGACGTGACATTTTCCGCTATTATTGGTTACAGCTGCTTCTCCTATGTAGAGTTGATTGTGCGTTTTAATACGCGGTAAATATCCTTCTTTTACCGTCGGGTTTGCTATTTTTACCGCGATCTGTTGTATCGTGCGAGCTTCGAGCCGGTGTTTAGTTGACGATTGCGGTTTTAAGGATGAAAGTAAATTCTGATAGTTTGAAAAACGCAGTGGTTTAACAGGTTTGTCTTTTAGTACCATGGTTCCATGATAATATGAAATTTCGACTTCTTCCTGCATTAAAAATGGGCTTCCGATGAGTCCATCAGCGTCTATTGCAAGGGTTTTTACGACGTAGAAAAATGCGGGTGTGTCATGAATGTGCAATATTGTGGTACCTAACGTGCGAATTGGAGTTGTCGTTAATCCTATTATTTCTATCGACTCGCGAGAATTGATTATTGCTTTTGTTCCTAAAACCTTGAGAGGTACTAAATTGATAGCTGCACCACAATCAATTAAAAATGTTCCTTTTCCTGATTCCAATTCTGGGATTTTGGCTTCGAGACGTGGGGCAGGTGTTTCCTTGATGAGGAGTCGTTGTCGAAGTGTACTGTTTTTTGACGACGGTTTTCGTTTCCGCTCATCGTGTCGCCGGTACGGTGAGCGCGATTGTAGTTTAAAGACCCGTTTGATTCAGCCGACGAATCTCGCGAGTCGCGTCGATATTTAGGATGACGCGGATTCTTTCTACAAGATTTCCCGTCGTGTCCCGTGGTTTCGCAATGCCAGCAATATAATTCTGGTTCGCGGTATTTTCCGGAGTTTTTTAATATGGAATAATGATTTCCCTCATCCTTAGGGAAATCGTAAGTGCGCCTCGAAGGGGAAATCGAGGGGCTCCTTTGTCGCACGGACCATGCGGTCGCACGTGGCTGCTCTTCTCGATCCTCTTGAGGTTCGTATGTTCTGGCGTGCCGCCCTCGGTCATAACGACTTGGTGAGCCAGGGTACGACACTTGACTGTCGCGGTGGCGATAATCTTCGGTCTCACGATCCTTTCGTGACCACCTTGCAGGCGATTCGTTCCGGGGCATCTGTCTTCGATTCCTTAGTTTTCTGTCTATGTGCAGCACGGCGTCGTAAGCATCTTCAAGAGTTTGTATATCTCTGAAATGTGCCGACACCTTCCAAGAAATCCGATCCGGCAAGCCTTCGATGAAATTTTCCAAGACATCTTTTTCCATCTCCTTGATGAAATCTTCGGCGTTGTCCCGGTATTTTTCTCGAATGGCTCCGCGCGCGCAATAAACCAGATGGCTAGTCCTGTCGACGTACTGTCGCAGACTTTCACCTTCGCGGATACGTAAATTCGCGATGTCTACTTGGAAATACGACAAACTTTTACCCGGCGCAAATCTCTTTTTTAGATGTTTAATCAATTCGCTGATACTCGCGAATTTATGCTCTAAGGTGCACCTTCGTGCCGGACCTATGAGCTTAGTCAGAACAATCGCCAGATAATCGGCTTCCGAACCCTCAGGTATCAATGTTAAACCGTCCTCCACACTTTGTGCAAAACGCGACAAAGATGGAGTTTCTCCGTCGAAAGTCGGTATCGTCGATGTTACGTTCTGTAGGCACGTCTTCTGTGTCAAAAGTGACATTGAATTGGCGAGTGACAATGTCAAGTTCATGATATCGTTTGACGAAATATTAGCTTGTGAACTTGTCATTTTAATAATTTATTAATATTTAACTAGAGAAAACTAGTATATTTAAATCCAATTAACTATGTGTATTAACTAGCGAAAACTAGTATATTCTTGACAAAAGTTAACTGGTTGACTTAACTAGCGAAAACTAGTATATTGTCCAAATTCAATAAGAGAACTTTAACTTCTCAAGAAACCCAAAATTACGTAGCGATTCTAAAATAGTTAAATCCCACCGCTGTCACCAGTTTCTGTTACGAGCCAGGGCCGTGCAGCACGCGTGGCCTGCGAGTGCAAAAGAGAGTATGGAATATGGTATCAATGTGTTAGTGAGGTGCACGGACGAACCCGATGCAAGATCGGGGAGCCGCTAGGATAGTTGATAACGAGGACGAACCTGATGCGAAATCAGGGAGCCTCTAGGATGGAGTCACTTACGGACGAACCTGGTGCGAAACCAGGGAGCCGTAGGAGGGTGTAATGTCGTGAACGAACCCGATGCGTAATCGGGGAGTCACTAGGATGGTTAATAACGACGCAGACGAACCCAATGCGAAATTGGGGAGCTGCTAGGAGGTTGGAAGAAACGCAGACGAACTCGATGCGTAATCGAGGAGCTGCTGGGAGGTTGGATAAATCACAGACGAACCTGATGCGTAATCAGGGAGCTGTAGGATGCGGACGAACCTGGTGCGTAAGCAGGGAGCCGCTAGGATGGTATTAGATTGCGTGGACGAACTCAATGCGTAATCGAGGAGCCACTAGGTTGTAAGAATTTGTATTTGGATTAAGGAGATGTTAATTGACCTCGTAACTTCAATTATTAGATATAATATAACCCGAGCGGTAAGGTTATATTATTGTGGGAACGTTTAACTAACAATAATCGCTTTATATAATGATGGGTTAAAGAAGATAAGTAACTCTGATTTAATAATGAAACTAGATATATTCTTAACAAACAACTAGATACACGTGTCTTGTGTCAGTTATGTCGCGTTGTAAGAATGATTATAATTACCTAAGAATGATTTTTGCACGGTGTTGACGCACTGGCGATGCGGGGGTAAGTCGGTTGACAATAGAGGCCGTAATAGAATTTATACCGGTTCCCGGATTCTATATGGTTTAAAATTGATACGAAAGGGTACTGTAGCCCGATCTCACGAAATGCAACTGACTGTCAGAACCGTGGACAGCGTAACGAGACGTGATGTTGACTCTAAACGTAACTGTACGATTCTGATCCCCCGAGTAAGGAAACGAAGGGGTTTATATACCCAAAAATCTGTGGGGGAGGATTCGGATGCACGTTAGACATTACCATATTTGGTAATCTCCGAACTTCGTTAGTCACCGAGCAGCTGCATTTCGTGGGAACTGACTCTAAATTCCAAAGGGTAGATAAGTAGCAGGGCGTTTTCCTAATGCACGCATGTGGTATAGAAAAATTGGGGAACGAAACGTTCGGCATACGTAACACACCTATTAGTTCGTTCCTGATTCTGGCATTAAAAAATTATTCGTACCTTTGGCGATGTCTTTGTTTTCGGCTCTTGAATAGCAACTCCATCGATGCTTATGGTCAGCTCTACTTTTGGAGTTTTGGTCCCTTCGCTCTTCCGTAATTGTTGATTGAATTTTAGCTTGCAAATCGCCTCCTTCACCACCTCGATGCCCTTTGGCTGATCCACTTCCGTGCTGCCCAAGTACTGAAACATTTTGCGTATAAATTATATTATAATAACAATTCAAAGTACACATAGTCGACAACTGATAAGAAAAACAAGATGAGGGTATCCGAACGAAGGAAATAAATATTAATTAATTCGTAAGAGGACGCATACAAAGGTTTCAAGCATCGTTCGAACACTATTTCTATAATTTTTACAATTTTATTATTCCCTGAAATTTTTAAACTAATTGAAACATTCAACATGAATTTTGACTTTTTCATCCCACGATTCGTGTCAAATCAGATCAATTTTCTCAACTTTAAGGTTATACAAAGTATTTCTTCTTCTACATTTATCAACGAAACTTTAATTTTTTAAATCTTAGCTTTAATTCCGTATTTATCACGATTTAAAGAGATTCGTACAAGAATCAGATTTTGTATAAAAAAAACCAAAATGAAAATTCGCTTTTCAAAAAGATCTGTATTTCATTGTTCTGCTCGGTAAATAGTGTCTTTTTATACGTATAGAACTAGATACATATGTATATTTCATAAATATTTATACAAATTTAATTAAATTACAGTATGCATAAAATATTGAAGATCCATACGATAATTCGAGTCTAATTCTTATGCAGAATGATTCTAGAAACTGGGATAAGTTGTCTTTTTCTAAATGAAGACTTTTTTAGTTTATGTAAATCGATTCTTCTCATCTTTCTGCATGAAAAAGTGTTGAGTCATAACCATTGGAAATGCAATGTTTCGCGAGATATTTCGTATTTCATGTTACGATATTACTTTGCCACAGCGGGTGTTCAAATGTCCCGCCATGAACGTTTTAAACATTTTATTACGCGCTTTCTAACATTTTTTTATTGTATTCTTTAGTTGTGTAGCGGCAATAAAAGTAGAAATAGTTTTAATTTTATCTCTTATGTTATAAATACACTTTATCTTTGCTGTCTTACTGATTTTGTAAATTATGTTCTTTTTCATTATCACAAAAAATAAAAAATTGGGAAAAATATGAAACTTAATGCGCCATAACCTGTTGATTAATTTAATCAATTGTCAGCTAAAAAAACCCTGTTTCATGAAAAATATTTGTTGAAAAAATCATTTAATCGAAAATAATGATTTCATCTATGACTTGGAGATATTTTCATTTGCACCATTTTATTGCCCATAATCATACATTTCTTACATTTAAAATATTTATCTGTTTTTATTAGTTTCCGAGATACTTGAGGAAATGTGTTTTCCAACACCAAAATTCGGAGTGAAAAACAGTTCCTGAATATGAATATCAATATTATTATATTATTTATGAATATAAATAGCTAATATTTTTCAATGCTTTGTCGGTATACTAATTTTTATACAAATTGGAGTATGACACTTGGGTGATGTCTCTCGTCTTACAGATTTTAAATATAATTTCATTAAAAAAATTTCAATGGGAGATTCTACAGGCCAAATTAAGACGAAAATAAAGAATAACCATTTCTTGACTAAGGCTTCATTAAAAAGTTATTAAAAAATTCAATTAAAAATATTCAAATCATTCTGGAAAAATTATTTTCGATTGCGGGGGTTAATTGCAATAATTTTCGGTGAATAGACCTACCCCAGAAATCCTACCCACTTTCGAGAAAAAAATTTGGGAAGGTGAGAAATTTTTCGACAAAATCAAAACACATCAAATCGCCCTGAAAAAATTATTTTTATATACAGGCGTCAATTACAATCATTTTGTATGCATAGACATACCTTCAAAATCCTACCCACTTTCGAGAAAAAAATTCTTTACCGAAAATATAATCCGAAATGGTTCCCGAAATTTTATGCGAATTTTTGAAACATCATAACTCCTGAACGAATTGGGCGATTTTACTGTTTCAAAATGCAAACAACGCGTATTTTGGGGAGGAACACGTGGAAATTCCAAAAATATTCGAAAAATTGTGCTTTCACCGCGTAAAATGAGAAACACCCCATAAAAATCGTCCAATATTCAAACAGCCATAACTCCTACAATGGTAAAGGTATCTCATTTAAATTTTTTTCTTAATCAGAGCCCATGGATATCTACAATAAAGTATTAGACAACTTTTCTGTAGAGCGTCAAACAAATTTATTAAAAATGAAAAACAAATTTTTAACATAAATCGACAAGGGGGCTACGTGCTTAAATTTTTCGCGTGCAAAAAAAATTTCAAATCGTTTTGAAAAAATAAGGTTTAGTTGCGGGGGTCAATTGCAATCATTTTTGGCCAATACACGTACCCCAAAATCCTACGCACTTTCGAGAAAAAAATTTGGGAAGATATAAAACTTGTCGACAAAATTTTAAAATTTCAAATCGTTCTGGAAAAATTATTTTCGGTTGTGGGACACAATTACAACCATGTTTGGTGAATACACATACCCTTGAAATCCTACCCACATTCGAGAAAAAATTCGGGAATATATAAAACTTTTCGACAAAATTTAAAAATTTCAAATCATTCACGGAAAAATTATTTTTAGTTGAGGGGATCAATTACAATCATTTTGTATGAATAGACACACCCCCGAAATTTTACGTATTTTCGAGAAAAAAATTCGGAAAGATGTAAAACTTTTCGAAAAAATTAAAAAATTTCAAATCATTCACGGAAAAATTATTTTTAGTTGAGGGGGGTCAATTACAATCATTTTGTATGAATAGACACACCCCCGAAATTTTACGCATTTTCGAGAAAAAAATTCGGAAAGATGTAAAACTTTTCGAAAAAATTGAAAAATTTCAAATCGTTCTGGAAAAATTATTTTCGGTTGCGGGGGGTCAATTGCAATAATTTTCGGTGAATAGACCTACCCCCGAAATCCTACCTACTTTTTAGAAAAAAATTCAGTAATGGCGGAACTTTAAACGTTAATAACTTTTTAACGAAGCCTCGATCAACAAATTTGATATTCTTGATTTCCGTGTTATTTTGGCCTCTAGAATCTCCCATTAAAATTTTTCCCAGGATGGCTGAACATCCTGTATAATATCTCGTAGACTTTGAGATTTTATTTAGTGAAACAGACAAATGTAATACAACTATGAAGATTTCATGCGTTCTAAATTATTTTACCGTAGAATACAGTTCAGAAAACATATTAAGTATCATTACGATCAACATTACTAGCTTTTGTTACAAACTTTCTAAATCAGTAAACGAATAAAATAAAAATGATTAAATAAATATTTGTTTATATGTATACAAAAATAGCAAAGCCTTTATTCATATAATTAGAACTGTTATGTGTATTTATTGTTATTAACAATTTTCTTATTTTCGTCTAATCATTATCGTCATTTTACTTTCATTACTCATTTTGAAACTATTAGTGCCTTGTATCATTATTATGTTTTAAAATTCATCTTTTCAAACCTAGTCAGGTATTTGATTATACAAGTAGCTTGAATATTTGATCAAGTTTGCGTAACAATAATGTAACAAGTTAAAAACTTATATGTTAATTATAAGAATTATACTTGTATTACGTATAAAGGTTTTTACACAAAACCGTCTTATTCTGAATTAAAACTTGACAATTTTAAATCATTCTTTAACTTTTACTAATTTACCAGAAAATTTTCACTAATATCAAACCACCCGAAGTTATTTAAATGAATAGATATTTTTTGTTTTAATTTCTAGAATTATCATGATTAATCTTAACTTTATGTAAGCTTACCCAAATCTCATCGGCTTTATTATTAAAATATAATACTACAATTAAGTAAGAATACTTAAGTTTTTTTCAAGTATTGAAATGGTCACCGATGCTTGCAGTCTTTTCTCAAATACTTGAACAGTACTATTTGGAATGCTATACAATCAAAAGTACACCGTCAAACTATTGAACATTCTTATTTTTTACATTAAAATTTATGAAAATGTCGAGGACGTTCCTCAACTTGAGAAACAGACATGGCAGTCAACGTGTTAAACAAGCCAACACAAATCTAGGATAACGATGTTGAGGAATTCATATTCGCGCGGCAACAAGCACGCAACCAAGTGGCGCCACCTTTTTCTTCTTCACCACTTTTTCGCACGTGGCGTTCTGTAGCCACAAAGAATATGATATCAGTTCGTGTAGTTACTGCGTGAACACTTCTACGTTCCTAGAAGGAGCATATTCTTTATATTTTCTACAAACGATTGGCATAAATTGCGTCTCTCTGTTTCATTGTCGATCCCACCTTTTTCCTTTCATTCGTCGGCACATGATCATGAACTATTGCTCCATAATAATTACACGAACAGCGAAGAGACGATGCGTGTCATGGCACCGAGATCAATGGTCAAGGCAGACACTAACGTCCATCGGATGAACGCGATACATGCAATTAGTATTTTGATACATTGATCGATTCAACCGTCCTATCTTTGGTATTTATAGCCATGTCACAGAATGCAGTTCAGTTTTCTAAATTTAGTTCGAATCGCGATAAACGAATCGCTAACCTTGTAGCGTGAAGGTTTTCAAATTTTTTTCGAACGCATTCTTCTTATCCGAGAAAAAGAAAATTTTCTGCGACCAAAGTAAGCGATTTAAATGATGCAAGAAAGGTATACTTATAAAGAATAAATAAACAGTTGGAACATGCGCAACGAGGTTGAATAAAGAAAACCTGATCTTTTAATGTTTCTTTGATTAAGTACATATCTGTATGAAAAAACGTGGTCAAATTATATTTTTTTTACACAAGTGACTCGAACATTACATATAGTATTGTTCTGCTTACTTTGGCTTCTTGGATTGTTAATATCTTGTATTAAAAAAAAACTGTGTCATCACTGCTCTAAAAGATACAGGATGTTCGGCCATCCCTGGGAAAAATTTTAATGGGAGATTCTAGAGGCCAAAATAAGACGAAAATTAAGAATATCAATTTGTTGATGAAGGCTTCGTTAAAAAGTTATTAACGTTTAAAGTTCCGCCATTACTGAATTTTTTTCTAAAAAGTGGGTAGGATTTCGGGGGTA